ATGTCATACTGAACGTCGTGCGATCATGTGTTGCATCCGACGAAAATTATCATGCGACCGTGCGTTTTAAACATACTCATATTATCTGCGGAATGTCCTACTGAACGTCGTGCGATCATGCGTTGCATCCGACGAAAATTATCGTGCGACCGTGCGTTTTAAACATACTCATAATTATCTGCGAAATGTCCTACTGAACGTCGTGCGATCATGCGATGCGACCGAAGAAATCGCGCATCATCGCGCGAGCGATGGTAATAAACATATAGAATCTTTCCTTGTTGAAATATTTCTTATTCATGTATTTCTCTTGTAGTATATTTGAAAATGTAATACGTGCTATCCGTTAGGGCCTGGTGATCTATAACACAGGGATTACCCTAGTATGGACACCAGTCTCTCACAAAGGTCAAAATTATCTACGATTGTATTATTTAAGAAATAATGTGAAATTATATTTACCTTTTTGAAGAGAAATAAAAATAGGACGGCGCCTAAGATAATGTCTTTCTGGTAGGTAGATAATTAACATATGGTGCAATGTTCTCGTCTATACAGATATATTTGTTTTTACCTTCCTGACTTATTGTTTCTACGATTTTTAATCATTGCAATGTGTCCTATATGACAATCTAAATTTTGATATATACACGTATGCCCCGAGTCATGGTCTACACGATGTAGATGCTATGACTTTTAGGAGGACGACTGTGTGGGTATGTAGTACGTTATACATACTTGGTGGTCTGAAGTTTCCGACCTAACAAGGATACAAGATATTGTTTCTTAAAATTTATTTTTATTATTCTACATAGTCTTCTTTTAACTCTACGCGTTTCTACCAGCGATGCTGCCATCTCTCTAACCCATCCAAGTAGTACCTACTCGGCGTTTTCTCTACAAAATAAATGTTCACGGTGGTGATTGCCTCCTCATTTGACATTTTAAGTTTATTTTAATATTTATAGTTTATTATTAAAAAAAAAACTATTTTTAGTACTTTTTATATTTCTTACTATAAATTAAATGATTTTTCCAAAAATTGTCTTTACACTACCACATGAGCAAAGAAAAAAATTTTTTTTCTCTTTATTTGGATCACCAACAGATGATACACAATACTAACAAAAATATAATCCAACACGGCGACTATATGCTACGTGGTCATCCTCTTACAGGAAACCACAACTTACATAAAAAGCGAAGTGATTTTTTTTAAAGATAAAGAATCAGATAATAAAACAGATAATAATGCTAATAAGTATACATAATCAAACAACATTCTTATATCATTTGTGGGAGGGAGGAGTTCGCAATTTAATTTTTGCTTATACAGGGGGGGGGGGATACAATATCCGGACCTATACGACTTGGGGAGCTCCAAGAAAAGAGCTTATTCCTTTTTAAAAGACCGGTAACGCACTTACAATTCCCCTGGTGTTGCGGTTGTTCATGGGCGGCGGTAGCCTTAGACGAGAATAACGTTTCTTTTTAATTGCTGTTTGTCTAATATTTTGTACATTATTTCGTCTGTCACTTAGAGTAAAACTTAGACACCTAAGGGTGGCAAAGTAGGAGATAAATTTTTTAATATAACTTTCATAAAGTTGAGCTAGTGATATTTTTTAGTCCACTCAATAAGTTCAAAAGATTAAACATTGAATAAAAACTAAAAGTCGACTTCAGAGAACTAAAAATAATTAAATAGCTTAACATTGTGAAGTCGAGACACTTACGAGCAGCACCGACTCAGAATGTGAAATTATTTAAGTTTAGTTTCTTTTAAGTTCTTTAAAGTCGAGTATTACTTTTTATTTATAGTTTAATTTTCTATAAACACGCCCCAGTATGAACTGTATCCCTGTGCAGTTATGATAACACTACGGAGCATGCAATCGATATTTCATTATCCGATGGAGCCTTACTGTTTACCTGCGAGTCGCCGCTAAGTTGAAATTGAATTGAAACATACTCTTGTTACTACCTACATATACATACCTACTGGATTGTTTCAATATAGTCACCAATAGTCACCAAGTACGAGGGTGGGGTGGGTTTTTTTGAGTACTGCAGCTTTTATACGAAACCTTTTTTTTTAAAAGGACAAAAGGCTTTGTAATGATTGAATGCGAGTCTGTTTTATTGGATTCAATCCTTGGATAAAATTTGTGTAATGTATGTTATTAATTTTATTTGTTATATAATGTATTTATAAAAAAATACATGCGTTGTACTGTGCCTGCTTAGGTAATAATAAAAGACCTAAGCAGGCACATTTCAACTTTCAATTTAGACTAATACAGAGTAGTTTTTGTGTATTAAATTGATTAGTCATTCGGATAACATATTCGTATTAAGACAGAAGTACAAAATTCACAATTCCTACACAAACAATAATAATTTACAGCAATGAGTACAAAGTAAGTTTTAATTAGCCATCAGTTCTCTAAACATTCAAAAAGACACTAATTAATAATTTATATTATATATTATAAATAATTTTAAAAATTACGGTTGTCTTTTTTAGACAGACATTAAGTAATTTTTAAATATTTTTTTTGTTTCTGATCTTAATATTTGTATTTAATGGAGTTAATGCTTTTTTTAATAATCGAATGAACTAAAAGACCAACAATCGTATTGAAACTTTTTTCAGGCTGCCATCCTGCAATGAAATTGTTTGTTCTAATTCTCTCTAGCATATAAATAAGTTTCCCGTTATTATTAAATCGTACCCTTTAAAAATAATCAATGAATTTAGTAAATTTCTCACATTTATGCGCAGTCTTTCAAAGCTAGTGCACTTTTAAGGAATTATAATGGGGTAAATCAAAACAAGTAGCATTTTAAATTTTGTTACGTGATTTCCACATTCCATTCAGTCGAGACTAACTAATTATAATAACATTCAGTAATTTGTCCTTTATCAGCATCATCATCATCATTATTACAGCTACAATGATCATTTCCTGCTTTAAGATAAACAGCTGTTATGCTCGTATCACAGAAATCGTTTATTACGATTTCTGTGGCTCTTATTGGATGAATCACAACAATTTCATAATCAAATCTGTATTGCTCTATTGGGATAGAAAACTGGTTTAGTAAAATAAAGAGCACATGTTCGTAAGTTACGTAATTTGGGCCTTATTTGGTAACTAAAGTAAAGATACAAATTATAGTTTCCTTATATTCTGAAAAGTTGTCTTTGAAAAAATCATAGAACAGTCTGCTTGCAACTTTAAATTTATCATCGTCATTATATATAACTTATGTCTATTTAGGTATTGATGTAGCCAAAGATGTATCAACGATCAAAATTTTTTGTGTACTCCATCGTTATATAGTCATCCACAGTGTTGTGTGGAAATTAACAAGTTTTTTAGATATTTGCAAGTTGTTTTGTCACAACTTACGTAATCATTGAACGAAATTGAAAATATTTTTCAATCCATTTCAGCCCATCAAAGTCCAATGCTGAACATTGGCCTTCCATACATTGTTGATAGGAGGGATATTTACCATATATGCTACGCTTGGCAACCGCGGTTTGTTTACTTTTTACTTGGTATTAGGAATACGTTACTGCCCTTCTCCTGGTGTGTTTCCATATATCGCCTCTTACGACACCCACAAGACGATATGGGGTAGTGGATATATTCTTACACCGATACTACACCGTTATTTTTCACTCAGAATGTTCAAATTCTGATTTAAAGCGAATGTGTCCTAAATAGTAATTAAAACTCACTGACCTTCTACATTTTTGTAGTCAGCTAAAAACGGAATTAGCGATTTATGCGCTTCTCGATGACAATTCGATCACGACGGTACTACTCGATACTAATGAAAGTTATGGTCGCCACACACGGTCAGTTCAACTGATCATTCCAACTGATCAGATCAAACTAAAACTGTTGATATTTTTTTAAATAGTGGATTTTCGATATATCTATCATTATAAATATATTAACATCGGAGTTTCACATATAAGTTTATTTATGGATATATCGAAAATCCGATATTTTAAAAAATATCAACAGTTTTAGTTTCAACTGATCAGTTGAACTGACCGTGTATGGCCACCATTAGCTTTCATTTCTTCTCCTCCCTAATTCTGCGCGCAAACCGTATTATTTAATGAATGAAATAACGATGAGTTATGTTATGACGCTTTCGCTGTTGCGGGTATTCCGTGAATAGCGCTTTTGCTAATGTAAACGCAAATCATAAGGCTAATGTGCTAAAAGTGTTTATTTCTTTTATCCCCCTATTTCGTTTTTAGTAAAGTTCAAAAGATATTTTGTAAAATATGGATTATTATAAATATATCATAATAATGGAATATTAAAAACTCGCGTGACCCTGACCCAATTGTTTGGTTAAAACAATTTTAAAATGTCCGATCTGAAATAATCTCCGAATAATGAGTTATTATTTGAGTATAAAATAGATAACAAATTTCTAGATCAATATTACTACACCATTATAATAACTAAAAGGGTACTGCTATTTTATTTTAACGTCATAGTTGTCCAACTATTTTCATTTTGATATGAAACAATCGTGCAAAATGTAATGAAATTAGTATTTAATACTCTAAAAATACTGGTAAATGCTTGTGATTATTTTATTACACAAGTGTAATAGTCCAAGATCCCAGGGCCGCCAGACGTCACGTATTTTCTGACGGATGAAATGTGGACGATTGAGTAGTGTTAGCATGTACTACGATCGTATGCCTACCTGCTAGCTTGGTCAAACAGCCAATTTCCAGGTATCAGGCGATCAAGGTACATAAAAACATTACTTACTTCACGTAAATTCTCATGGCTGATTTTCATATGTGTTTCAGAATGTATAGTTAAAAATAAGTTGTCAATACTCCCAGACACTTTTCGTCGGCAATATTGCGTTGCAGACGCTTTAAAGCTCTCAAAATAATTAGTTTACTTCAACGGTTGCTTTATTATTAATAATTCATATACTGTTTGTTACAGATACCGACTGCCTCGGCTGAAGGCCATTGCGTGTGGTATGGCACTTGCACGAAGTTTCCAAAGACGAAGAACTGCGCGTATGATGGACCAGCGAAGCCAATCGACGAGGCATCGATGGTGAGTACGCCAAACTAATATGAATATTTACTAAATATTTTTTTACCGTCTGGAAAAAATAGGGTGTAACTGGTAAAGGGCATAGAAGCCTATATTTTTTTACATTAACATATTATTAAATTGATCTATTAATAAATACTACGAGCTAACCCATTAGTGCTACAACTATAACATAGCTGCAGCATAGCTCTACCAGAGCAAAGAAAAAAACAAGGGGTTGTTAGATCAACAGCCGTCAGAAATAAAGACAATATTTAACTATATTTCGTCTTTATCTTGATAAAAAAATTATGCATGTCTTTTGTACAAAATTTTTTTGTAAGTTTTATAGCTTGTCTGTTTCTAAGAAAGGGAGCAAAATGAAATTGCATTTAATTAGTATTTGCCGGTGAAGTAAGGTATGCAAAACAAGCCTGAAGTCGTGTGGTGATGTTTTCGTCTACCGCGTGATCCGCTACATTTTTAATAAGCCTGTAATTATGTTGCACATAAATTAGTTAACTTACAAAGAAGAAGAAACTAACTTTGTTTGCAGCCAAAAGTCATTATAATTTTAATTCAAACATACATTTGCAGAGGTTCATACATAATTTAATTATAATGACTTAGAATAGCGTGAATTGTATCACTCACACATTAAGATTTATGCGAAGTACCATTAACTCGCTCATCACAAGATATTCAAAACTATACGCCTGATCGACTTGAAATTTGGCATAGACACACTAAGAAAGTATTTTGAAAAACTCAACCCCTGAAAGGGTGAAAAAGGGCGTTACAGCTTGTCCCTTAATAATCATATAAACTTTAACGTTTTAGGTTAAATATAATACAGTAACTGGCTAGCTAATGCCACTTTTTTAAGTATAATGATTTATGTAAAGAATAAAGAACCGAATAATAATAAGAATTCGAGTTACTTTTTATGATGACGATTGTATTTATTATTTCCTTTAACACAAAAGACGTTATCTCAATGATGCTTTCAACTTTTCTTTGTAATCTTTATTATTCATAACATATTAACAATACGAAAGATTATTTTTGTTGGAAATTTCTGTAGCATTCGTTCGACGTTTTCATACAACAAAGCATAATATATACAGTGTGCATTATCAGATAAGGGTATACGTTATCTCACAGCTGTCGGACTTTGTTATCTTCGCAATTATTGTCTCATGTGAGTGTGTAACTGAATACTTCTGGGATTAGAAGGCTAAAAAGGCTCTATATAAGAACGAGTTTTTGGGATTAACTCATCGTTGCGTTTAATTTGAAAAAATAAATAAATAATAATACATCGATCATTAGTTTAGGCGTTCTATTTTTGAACAAAAGTCACGAAATCATTGTGGTTTGTTTTAATCAAATTGTATCTGTTTTTATGGGTCCACATAAAATATATAAACATATAAATGTCTTTGTTATCTTTTTCAAATATATATATATATGTTAGTATTTGGAGTGTATATATATACATCCACTTACGGCTACTATAGATAATATAATTATCCTATCCTGAAAAGTAAAAAAGTAACAAATTTAATGCCTATGAATTTTTGTAGAAACTCGTTTTGACTTGAATGAGACTTTGTTGGATACCGGTGGTGATGGTTTGGATGGTTACCGTTTTTAGTGGCAGAAAGGCTTATGTTGACGGGCTGCTATGATAATGCCTTTCCTTCTTTGCTCTCTTGACCGTTAGCAAGCACGACTGAATATGGTTATTGCAGTTTTATAATTCACGTGATCAGCGGTGCAGGAAACAACTTTAAGGAAGTGATGTTCGTCAATTAGCATTGAAACAAAGCGACGGTCTTGTAGCCCTCTCAATGCCTTGTGGTCGGTCAGCAATAGGATGTTTGTAGGCTGTTATATTTTTACTGAAGTCTTAGCAAAAAGATTAATGGATTTCTTATATTTACGCGAACACTATACATTGATTAAAACTACTTTTACGGATTTTATCGCGTTTTGTTTATATTAATTTTAATACCCGACGTTTCGGGTGCTTTCCAGCACTCATGGTCACGGGGGACTGAGGTGACTGACGTCCCGATGTCAAAGTTAACCCGGAGTACCTTCAGCTTATTAATTATTGTCTTTGGTTCTGCGTAGATCGGATTCAGTCCCCCGTGACCATGGGTGCTGGAAAGCACCCGAAACGTCGGGTATTAAAATTAATATAAATAAAACGCGATAAAATACGTAAAAGTAGTTTTAATCAAAAAGATTAATGTATTCCAGTCCGAATTTCGGTCACGACGGCCAGTCTCGATGTAGCATTCTGCGCTAGTCAGAATTATAGTGCTCAAATGTATGCGCAATCAGAGGTGCACTCTCTATTCCCTTACTCTCATAGTTCGACACGACAGGAAAGAGATCAAACGCAGGACCTACAGCTTAAAGTGCTTTTCCAATACGATGGTAAAACGCTGCCAGCTTCCTGACTCCAAGCAAAGCTAACTTATTTACGTTTTGTACATGTCGACTGGTTGTCCTGGATTTTTTTAATGTATTTGATTAATTTCGCTATGAGTATGTACGTCATTTTACAACTTCAGGCTCCAAGGGCGGCGGTGCGCTAAGTGGGTCACGGGGTGAGGTAACTTAGCGTGCGTCCGATGCTATATTTAGCAACTGAATGCAGCCGTGACGTCACAGCAGCCCTAGTTTCCATCAGTGCAACCAGCAACCTGATCTGTGCGTGTGCGGGCTATTTTAATATCGTTTGCAATCTGCTTCTTTGGTCACATTTTTGTCGCCTTGTGGTAGTGCCCTTATAGTATCCATCGCGCCATTTCTTCTCGCTGTTGTATTTTATGGTATGCAGCGTAATAGATGCGAAATGTCGGTAATGCGAAGTTTTAATAACTAAAAAACGTCTTAGAGTAAGTAAAAACGCATCTACAATGTGATCCTTGATCAAAGATACATATAGATGATGTCTATGAGCCTCAGCATCCACTCACCACTAGAAAGGGCTGTGTGCTCATTTGTTACCCTTATTCTGAAAAAAAAAAAGCTATCATCGCTTTTAAATGCATGATTTTTTGAAAGCCGTATTTAAGAGCCTATTATTATACCCTAAGAATATATACAATATTTGCTTATAATTTCCAAAGATGTATATATGTATAATATCTGTTGACGTAAGTTAAAAAAGTAACATTGTTGCGTTCTGTATCATAGCAACGCTACAATGTAGTAATCTCTCACTTTATAATAAAATCCAATGATCCGTGTCACATTTTAGTACATTTTGTTATACCTAGGTTCTTTTAATATCGTCGTTGCTGAGAGTCCGTAGGTCAGTAGGAATGGTATCTAGTTATTATCTCATCGAATTATCTGTATTTGGAAATATATAACAATGTGTACTATTATTAATATAGTAGTCTATATAAAAAAATGAATGCTCCAAATTCATCCGATAACCTTGAAACTTTGCCGAGTATTTGTGCGCGCTAGCTCCTTCATCCTATACCGTTGAGTTGGTCGACGAGGTCGACCACGAGTCTTGAAAAGCACGTCGAGCACAGGTTGTGCTTTTTTAAAAAAATTACAACATTAAAGAGTAAACATTATAAAACTTGTCTCAGACAGGTTTGTCGATATTTTTATTCTTTTAGCTTCGCACATTTGACCTTTCATTTACACTTGAATCTAAATTGTTTCGCCATAATTTTTAATCAAGGCTTAAAATTTTAAACACCACACACACACGTATATATATATATATATATATATATATATATATATATATATATATATATATATATATATAAGGGTGTCCCAGAACTCAACGTCAAGCCGAAACAGGGTGACAGGAATGATTGTTACGATCATGAGAAAAATCAGAAAAAGAATCTATCCCATGCAGTTCGGAAATTATGGGCATTTAAGAAAAATCTAGAATTTTGGTGAAACTGTAACCGTTTTTCGGTTTTTGTGGTTAATTTTCATTATTTTTGTTCATTTAAACTTTGGAACCGTAACCCTAAATAACATTTCTAGAACAACAGTCAAAAATAATGACACAACTGCCCCAAGTTTTCTAGAATTAAGACTATTTGTTAAACTATGAATTTAAAATTATTTACATTTGTCGACTTTGAAAGGTCCTCCTTTAAAAAAGATATACTAAAATGTGTTGGCAAGTGCCATTAAAAGTTTGCACATTTAACCAGCATTGTAAAATGGTATAATACTTGTTAGTTACATACTAAAAAAAAACTAGTTAAAAATAAAAACCTCGAGTAACCCGATTTTTGGTAACCCATTTTACTTAGTTTAAATGTTTTTATTGATTTGAGAGATGGATAGTGGAGATGTTTGCCATGAGCGAGCAAGACAGATAGTGACGCCAATTTTACAAAAGCAACAAAAGTAAATAAAATTAACAAAATAATGAAAAATCTTGGCCTAGTTTAGTTTAGGTTTATTGGAATAAAAGTCAGATAGGGAAATAACATTTTTTTATTACAATAAGTGTTCAAATGGTTTACCATCAGCCTCAATACACGCCCTACATCTTCTTAAAAAAGATCTAGTTATTATTAGTCGGGCATATCCTCGAGAGTTGATGTCCTCAGCAGATTGAGAAATTCGTTCACGCAGCTCGGCTACCCTGTCAATGGGCTTTGAATAAACTTTTTCTTTGAGAACACCCCAATAAAAAAAATCCAGGGGATTTAAATCTGGGGAACGGGCTGGCCACGAGATAGTGCCTGAACGTCCAATCCACCTTCCCGGATATTCCTGGTCAAGAATATCTCTTACTTGCACCGCGTAATGCGCTGGGCAGCCATCTTGTTGATACCACATGTGGCGACGAACTGCTAGTGGTACGTCCTCTAACAAAGTTGGTAAATTTTCTCGTAAAAAATGTAAGTAATTCGTGCCATTAAAGTTCTCAGGCAGCTCAAAAGGCCCAACAATTTTGCCGTTTAAAATTCCGGTTTAAAATTCCGGTCCACAGGTTTACTTTAAAGCGATACTGGGATCTGTCTTCTCGC